CAAGGAAATAGAAAATCCAAGATTTAGAAGATCCAAGTTATTCAATGCCTTTTATTTCGTTGCACGCTGTTGCCCTGGTGGTGTGCTGATTGCAAAGATAAATGATGCTGTTTTTGAGAGTCTATACCTTGGCAAAAATTACGAAACTTAGCACACACGTCACATATTCTTTATGTGCGAAATACCCCAACGTGCCAGTACCCCAACGTACAAATGCACCAACATAGCTTTGCTAGGCTTGTTTTTGACATATGACACAAATTGGGGCAAGGGCAGCATCAAAATTTGTGTTTCATCATTTTTTCCGAATGACACATTTTCTCCCACAAACGTAAAACAAAATCCCAACAAAAAATATTTATTTGACAACAAAAGTGCACCGATAAAGTATAAATAGAAATCACAAGTCAAAAAGAATTCCAAAAAAACAATACATCAATAAACAGTGCTTGCAAAGGCAAGGAAATAGAAAATCCAAGATTTAGAAGATCCAAGTTATTCAATGCCTTTTATTTCGTTGCACGCTGTTGCCCTGGCGGTGTGCTGATTGGAAAGATAAATGATACTGTTTTTGAGAGTCTATACCTTGGCAAAAATTCCGAAACTTAGCACACACGTCACATATTATTTTATGTGCGAAATACCCCAACGTGCCAGTACCCCAACGTACAAATGCACCAACATAGCTTTGCTAGGCTTGCGAGGGCTCTTGATAGCTGCTCACAGCTTGTTAGTTTTATTATTGTAAAATGTTGTGATCTTTTTGGAGAACCGCCATATATATATATATATAGGGGCTGGAGAGCTCAGTTAGTAAGGCACCAGTTTGGCGTAAGGGAGACGCGGGTTCGAATCCCGCTTGGGGCAAAAATGAGCACATCACACCATCCAGTGTGGGTCTCAGTTGGTAAGGCACCGGTTTGGCGTACGGGAGACGGGGGTTTGAATCCCGCTTGGGGCAAAAATGAGCACATAACACCATCCAGTGTGGGTTCTTGGGCAAGACCCTACAAGCTAATGCCTACCTCATACAATGGTGAGAGACAATAGATCGAATGACATGCCGGCTCAGACGTCGCCTGGCCAAACAAGGTCTGCGTCGGGTGCTGGGGAACCAGAGCACCTTGATGAAAAATGGGCTACTGGAACAAAGCAGAGATGGGCGAGATGCGATAACATGGCTCTGTTGGAATGCTACTCCTCAAGCAACCCTAGTCTGAATGGTTACTTCGAAACCCACAGTCACGGTTGACCACGAAACAACTCGTAGCTCTGTGTTTCAACATCCACAAACGGCAATTGCTGTCACAACTTGAGATTGACGAGGTACAACGCAGGGTACACG